GACTTAGGTGACATGGGACTAAGTTATCTTAACCACATTTTAAGGAGGGATACCAGGAAGAAAAGCTATGAAACACACTATCATTTCAATACAGATTAAACAAGTTATTCATCTTATTAACTTGGAGGGTAGATGTTTTCTCTGTATAAGGTTGTGTGAGTAGGATGCATCCTGGCTCTGGCTATTTATCATGTCAATCTTAATTACTTAACAGGCAGGCAGGATGGAAGGAGAAGCTCTTGTTGGTTCTGTTTTGCTAGACACAAGGCTGAGCACCAAGCCAGGAAAAACAACGTAGATCTCATTTGTAAATTTCCTCTTTTTTCAGAGATGCAGTGTAGATTTTTTAAAATATTCTTATTTATTATTTTATTATTTTTATTTTATGTATGTGAGTGTATTGCCTGCATGTATGTAAGCGTACCCATGTTGTGCCATGTCAGAGGAGGTCAGAAGAGGCCATCAGATTCCCTGGATCTAGAATTATGGGTGGCTGTTCGCTGTACTGTGGGTGTTGGGAACTGAACCCGGGTCCTCCAGAAGAGCAGCCAGTGCTCTTAACAGCTGAGTCATCTCTCCAGATCCCATCGTAGATTTTTTTTTTAAAGGAGAGAGATTCATATTCTCTCCTTTTTGTATAGCTTTTGGAGAGGCCATGTAACAGATGGCTCTTAGTCAGAGCTGGGGTTTGCTTTTGAAGTTGATTGAGCAAGTTTCTGAGTTTCTCTGATCCTTAGCTTTCTCATCTTTAGAGCTGAGAGTTCTATACCTACCTCACCAAGTACCCAGTACACAGGTCCCGTGCCTTGCCATCTTCCATCACCCCTTTCCACACAGTAGATAATTTATGTTAGTTCCTGTTCTATACACTCAGTTCTTAGTTCTAAGAACACAAAGGCTGAGGCAGGAAGGCACTTCACCAGATATTTGTGATGCAGTTTAACAGCAATATAATATCAGTGTTTCGTGAATGCTGCAAGAGGCAGGAGGCGTGGCAGTTTGGGCAATAGGTGGCAGTGCTCATTTTAAATATCTTTTATGGGCTGGAGATATAGCTCAGTTGGTTGAGTGTTGGTCTAGCGTGCATGAAGCCCCGGGTTCAGTCCTCAGCACTACATAGACCAAGCATGGTAAAGTTTGGTAAATCCTACAATCCCAGGAGGATCCAGAGGTCATGGCCATTCTTGGTCACTTAGCAAGTATAAGGCCAGTGTGAGCTACATGAGATCCTCTCTTTTAACTTTGTGTTTTTAACTTTTGTGTTCTGTGGCCATTTAACAGTAGAGGATCATTAAACTTTGGTATTCCATGGTTAGAAATTAGCTCAAGCTAAACATTAGGCTCATTTGCAGCACAAGGCATTTGATAAAATGTCTGGCATGGTATCAAGTGTGTCATACAAGACAGCATTCTTCACAATGGTCAGAAGTGATTCACTTTAAGAGACTAAAATTATCCAAGAACATGCAGTAAAATATTGTCAACCTGGTCATACCTCCCAGGGTTGAGAGATTATATTGTGGAGAAACTAATATGTGGCAGAACTTGAGAAGACAGTAACAGTCCTTGCCCTCCCACAGTCTGTGGTATTGAGGGAAGACGACAAGCTAGTAAGTAGGGATAGCAGAGCCTGATGCATAACATTCTAGTGTGATAGATAACCTGATTTCATCTCCGCATTTTTCTTGTATCATAGGGTCAACTCATGCAAAAGAATGACTGAAATCCTTACTCAATAATCTATTAAGGTCATTTAGGAATGCTGCGACATTTATCCAATGGTCTGTCACTGATTTAAAATGACTTGCAGTCATTATAATACAGCCTGTCAAGCTGAGTTTGACAGCAATTCTGCATGCGGATTGTGAGATGTCATGTTCAGTGGGTAACGTGGCAGTTATTCTTCCTGAAGGCCAAAGGCGTAGCCTCTGCTTCTGATCTCTGCGTCTGCTGTGGGGTGATGAAAATGCCCTCGGCTCTCTTGTGACCCACCCCTCTCATGGCCAGACTCATGGTCTTTATACACAGGTTCTGCTCCCAGATTGTTCTGGAGTCAAGCCTTCTCCATTCTCTTGGTTCCTGACTGAGTAATGAAATCAGGTGTAGTCATGGTGTCATGCGTTCAGAGACAAGGCCAGACCATGGGGCCACCCTAGGTGAGCTAATCACTTGTTGCTCTGGCCAGGCTAAAGGTTCAATGCCATTGCAGACTCTTCTTCCATAAGTATTTGTTTACAGCGTTTTCAAACAGAGTAGCTAAGCGCTGTGTAGGAAAACCTAGTAAAAAAGCCCCTCTAGTTCCCCCTCTTGTCTGTTCTCAGGCTCTCAACTGACCAGAAATAGCAGCCAGATTCCTTATCTTGTGGTCACTTTCAATCCTCTATCATCTAGCCCTGGATACAGATAAGTAAGAAACTGCTTTAGCCTTCAAGGAATTTGGGGCAATAGCTTAACATATGCCATAAAGCAGTATGAAAGAAATATTTGTAAACTTGGCTCAGGAGGACTGACCAAAGATCCAGGAGTTCAGCCTTGGAGTCAGAGCGGTTCACTGAGGGGATACCATAGGATCCCACAGTGAGACAGGTGATAAAATAGAATGTTCCCTTTTAAGTCTTTGCTTTTGAATTTTTCAAATCAATGAAATAGAAGTCTTATTTTATATAACCAAACCTGGAACATGGATTACACAAGACAGAGTATGTTAATGCAGTGATTGTTGTCATCACTGGCCTGCAGAGTGATACCATAGGACTGTCTTTCTGTTATAGATCCATGGAGAGACATGGCTTTAGGCTAGGGATGTGGCTCAGTGGTAGAGCACTTGCCTAGCATGCTCAAAGCCCTGGGTTAGAGCCCCAACATTTTAGAAAACCAGAACAGACTTGCAGAGTGATGTCACAGGACTGTGTTTCTGTTACAGATCCAGGGAGATTCTTGGCTTTGGGCTGGGATTGTATCTTGGTGGTAGAGAACTTGCCTAGCACACTCACGGCCCTGGGTTTGATCCCCAACATTACAAAAAAAAAAAAAAAAAAAAAAAAAAAAAAAAAAAAAAAAGACAAGAGAGGGTCTTGATTTTTGCTAGGTCATTTCTCATATGATTTTCTTCTGTACCGGTCACTATAAGACAAATTAATGCAAGTGGAAGCCATTTTGAGATTCCAGAGCTTTGTGGTTGCTCCTTATCCCATGACACAGGAGTTTACTATGTCCACGCCTGCCATCTCTACTGACCAAAAGGAGCAGGAGTGTCCAGACCTGTCCACTTTTGCAATCAAATCTTTGAGGCCTTTTGTTTTTCAGGAAGCTGGCCATCCCCTATTATTCCTTAATCCTCAGTCACCTGGGATTTTCTTCTATGTCCCATAAAGGAACCTTCTGACAGGAGCTCTTTGAAGGCAGAGGGAATGCTCAGTCTCAGCCTTGTGATCTTCCCATCTGCCAGAATCCGTTCTTAGGTTGTCATGAGACTGACTTTTTTAAGTTAAAATGCACATGTGTCATGTTCTGCCTCTGCCTTTGAGGGGGTAGATGATGCTAGTTTGGTAACACTCGTTAGCATAGCAAGCTGGAAAGCAGAGACACAGCCACCTGTCTCCACAGCTGGCCTGTCAGAATTGCTGTGACAGCCTTTGTCCTCTCTATCCTGCCTAATGTGGATGATTTATTCTATTCTGAGCTACGTTGCCATTTAGGGTTTTCACATTTCATTCTTCCAGCTCGGTACTTTTGTGTTCTGCTGAGGAGGAAAAAAGAAGATAACTTTGGCTACAGTTTCTAAAATTAGTCTGAATGATTTGTTTAGCCTGGATGAAGAGCTGAGCCACATCATGTTGTCGCTGTTTTTAGTTGGCAGCAGTGGCTTCACCATGAGATGACAGGAAGTCATTGTGAGAGCTTTTATTAAGTCTACTTTTACAGCTTCTCAGCAAGATGTCCCTCTGCTTTAGGTAAAATTTTATAAAGAGGAATGATATTTGTTAATAAGCATGAGGGAAATGGTCAACCTCACTCAAAGAAATGCAAAGTAAAGCAATAGAAGGTTCTTTTTCACGTATGGAATCAGTGAAGGGTTTTTGTGGAGTTTCCGTGATAATTCCTAATCTCTTCACAGTGCAACTGATGCTCTACCAGAACGATTACTGGTGTAACTTTGGGATGGAAAATTAATTGACATATATAAGCAACTTTAAAGGTTTCGTTTTGACCTAGTGCTCTCGTTCTGGAAATCTATACAAAAGAAATCATATGAACAGAGCTGAAGATGAAGATCTAGCTCAATAGTGGAGTACTTGTTTAACATTCACACAAGGCCCTGGGTTCAATCCCCAGTACCCAGAAAAAGGAAGAAAGGGAGGGGTGGAGGGAAGGAGGGATCATATGAATAGAGTACAGAGATGTTCCTGCCATTATTGATAATAAACAGGGAATTTTTTAAAACTAGGAAACACAGTATGTATCTATCATAAATCATACTTAGAGAACTTTAACATCAGGAAGTCTGTAAGGGGCAACAGGAAACCTCGGAATTATGCCATCGAATTTTACTACAGGTCAGGAAGCAACAAAACAACAGAGGAATCTATCTCAAATGTTAATTCCTTTCCTCCCATGTTTTCCCTGTTTAGTCTAAGAAGCACAGATATTTTTATTGGGCTTTTATTTGTAAAAATAAAACATACAAATATAGTACAGATATAATACTTCTTCATTCTCTGTTAAAAACTTGTTCACATTTTGTGCCTTGTGAATTGCTGTTGTAATGAGATCAAATGTGTAGCATGTGATGAGACTGTGATTTGTTTCTCTCCCTGAGCACTAGCTAACCCCTCTGCCAAGAGATCGGAAAAACTAACTCACTTTTTTATAGTTACGGTTTGTAATGTTTCATACACTTATTATGTATGTTGGAAATTCTAGAACCTTTTAAGTGGATAAATGATCTTGCAGTCCCGCGATGCATAAAATATGACAATATGCTTATGGTTTCTCTGTAGGAATTCCTCAGATTGAAACTAATTGCAAAGTTTCTGGTTGACCAGCATTCATAGGGTAAGATGAACGTTTTCAGTTGTGAACACATGGCACAGATTATTACAATTATGTTGGTAGCTTGGGGCAAAAAGAAAATACGGAAAGTCATTACTATTCTTGCAGATGTTTTTAGGAAAATCACTTTGATATTTTTAAACTAGTTAAGCATAAATTTAAACCTGTGTTATTTTAATTAAAATGTCATCTTCCTCTCCTTTGTGGGTTTTGTAAACAGAAATATGTGTGTTTGATATGTTGCTTTTTTACCATTAAAGATCTTACGGTTATAAAAATGTCTATGGGAGACTTAGAGCCCCAAACTAAATTCCTGACCTGGGGATAAGGTAGCTGCCTTTGTTTATTGATTTGTTGGTTTTGAGACCGACTGTCACATATCTCAGGCTGGTCTTGAACCCACTATATAGCAAGGATGGCCTTGAAATTCTGATCCTCCTGCCTCCTTCCAAGATTACAGATATGCATCACCATGCCCAATTTATGCACTGCTGGAAATCCAACCCAGCTTTGTGCAAGCTAGGTAACTACTCTGTAAACTGAGCTCCATCTCCAGCCCTAAGATGGCTACTTCATTCAATCCATTTGCCATGTTTATATATGATAGCCACACTGGCCTTGAATGAGCAAGTCAGGTTCTACACATTTTTGCTTCTCACAGACTTTACTCCTCTTCTGTAACTGTGGAAGATTAATCTTGAGTTAGTTCCGTGGCAGAGTTTTTGACATTGACATGATGAAAGGCAAATGCACCCACCGTGTCAAGCATCATGACTCTCTCCAGAGTAATGAATACAGCCTGTCTTAAAAATGTCACCCATCTCTGAACATGTGGTCCAAGGCACTCAGTGGTGAGGACAGTGGGTCTGTCACTACTACATGCAGAATACGTCTTTCCTAGATAAAGGTAATAAGCCATTGATTTGATAGGTATGTCGTCTTCTACATGCAGATCTGTTGAGCTGGCTGTGATTTTACTTAAAGCTGACAGATTTTGCCACTCTGCTGCATCTGACCTATCACTCCTGGATTGTTTCCTATTCAAATTTTTGGCCTTGCTTGGCCTTGGCTCGCTGTCTTCTCCTTGCCCCAGGCTCCTGATGTTCTAGCCAGAATGCTCTCCTTTCTGATCTCCATACATCCCAAAGTTTGTTGCTCCTCTGCCTGGAATGACTGACTGACTTACTCTATTTTAACTCCATTCTAATGACTGTCCTCCAAAGAAGCCATCCTTTGGAGGTTTATAGTTTTCACGTTGTTTCTGATCGTACTTGGTGTTGTCTCCTCCCTCCCCACTCAGTAAAATACATAAGGCCGGAGACCTTATCTGTCTCTTTTTTTAGTACTGAGGATTGAACCTAGGATCTTGCACATGCTAGGCACGTGCTCTCCCACTAAGCTGCATTCACAACTTACTGTCCTGAGCACCTGTACTTCCCTAAGACTTAGAACTCTTGATACATAACAGGCATTACATGTATCTGTTGCATGAGCAGACTAACCTCGTGATCTTTCTGTCACTGGTGCTACCGCTCAGGAATGTTCCGTCCATTCACTTCATGCATCTTATTTATGAGAGCCAAACATGGCATTTATTAGGTTTGTCCCATTCTCCTGCTCATCTGGCCACTTTCAGCTATGAATGTCTTCTCTCTACGGCAGGATTGCAGCCTTGGGAAAGCAGAGACAAGCCCCCGGCCTTCCTTGCTATGCTTTTGTAGTGCCTTGCTTTCCATAATTGAATACATAAATGTTAAGATGAGTGGTTAGATCATGCTTTTAAGTATTTCTCAAGATACTGGTTTGTCCTGGGCTAGAATCTCGTTTTTATTAACACTTTAAAATAATGATAACATAAATGTTTCCTTGACTGTATTTATTTACAGTCTCATGTTTCCAAGGAAGACCTATTATTAGTGTTTTCAAGCTTGTAGTTTTTCCTCAAATTACACCCTTAGCCATAACCCAGGTTCTGTTACGTTGATGGCTGTAGCAAAGCTACTTAACTCTTCTGAACGTGTTTCCTTATTTATACAATAAAGAGTGAACTGTGTTTCTATAGTGCCTTCCTGGATTAAATAGTCTAGGTGACTCTGTTCTGTGAAGAGTGTTACTAAGTGACGTGTGTTGCTCTCTGCGTAGTATCAAAAAGGAGAGTGTGGGGTTCACAGGAGACTGCAGAGGGCCTGGCACGACCCTGCCCTACTATGACTTTCATACTAGGGGCTTGTGGGAAGTTGGTCAGGAAAATATATTGAAAAAGTAAGAGGTGATGAAGGCACCTCTTGAGTTTTCCTTCTTATTTTTACATTTTCTATAGGAATTATCCGAGCATAGGGCTGGAAAGATGACTCCGTGGTTAGGAGCACTGGCTGCTCTTGCAAGAGAACCTGGGTTCGTTTCCCAGCACCCACATCATGGTTAATAACCATCCGTAACTCCAGTGCCAAGGGAATCCAGTGCTCTCTTCTTAACCTCCACAGGCATTACACGGGCACTTATACACAGGCAGGCAAGACACTCAACACATAAAATAAAAATAGTAAATAAAATTAAAAAAAAGGATTATCCAGCCACTATTAACTTAGGATTTGGAGTTAATATTCTAATAATACAGCTACAAGTTTCATTTAAAAGGTATTTTAGAGTGCATGTGGTCATACACACCTGTCATCCCAGCATTCAGGAGACTGAGGTTGGGGAATCATGAGATCCAGGCCAGCCTGGGCTACACAATGAGACCCTGTCTCCTGAAGCTTCAAATGGTTAAAGCAATTTTACTAATAACTAGTATATTATTTATGATTGCTTGGCAGACTCATTACCACTGTGCAGCTCTGTATATAGGAATTACTGTTACCTATCTCTATCCAGATTGGTTTCTCTGTTGTTTGACAATGATGTCTGCTTCTTTCTTCCAGTGAAACTCTGATTTGTATGCTTCACAAACATTTGCTTCTCTTCTGCCTTGATTTGGCTTCTCTGCTCCTCCTGATTTGACCATCCTTCCTCACCTAGACAGCAGTTCTCTCCTGTGCTCATTAACTTATTTCTGTCAAAAAATTATTTTCTGTGGTGCTGTCCCCTCCCCAAATGTTCATGGAATCCCGTGATAAATTAAAAACAGCTATAAAACCTTAGCTACGCTTTCCATCTACCCCTTCTCTCAGCCCTTTGAAGCTAAGCTGATCCTGTTACTATCTTTTGACCAACACAATGAGGCAAAAATAGTGTGGCATGATTTCCAAGACTGAGCCTTAAGTCTTGTAGCTTCAGTATCTATGTGTTTGAAGCATTCCCTCTCATAATTTAGCCCCCTTGCTGGGGGGAAAGCCTAAGGAGCTGTTTGGACATTGGTGGGGCCCCAGTCTGAAGCCTACATTGTACTCTGGGTCAGCAGCCAGCCCAAGTACCATCCCTGTGACTATGGCATGTTGGACTTTCCAGCTGTCCTTGTATCCCAGCAGATACCATGTGGAACAAAACTGCTCATCATCCCACAGAATCATGGGAAATAGTGCATTGTTATTTTAGAAACCAAGATTTAGGTGGCTCTGTTGCACAATGGATAGCGCATTGGACTTCTAGAAACCAAGATTTGTGGTTTGCTGACACACAAAGCAACCAAAGGCAAAACTGGTGCCTGGGGGTGAGATGCTGACACAATAAAACACCTAGCATTGATGTTCAGCAAAAATGAAGTGTTACGGGTGGCTGAGGGTCAGTGAGGAAATAGCTGTTAGAGGATGTAAATGGTACCCTTGTTTTTCATGGACAAACATTTCAACGAACCATCACCTGCAGTACATGGAACATGAAGATGAACTTGTGGGTCTAGCTGAGGGGATTTCCAGCAGGACACTGGGAATGCCAGTTGACTTTCTTCTTAAGCAACCTCTGATCAAGTTTTGTGAGGGAGAATTAAGGAAGAAACTGTCAGATTTTTAAAAAATATTTTATTTATTATATTTATTTTATGTGTATGAGTGTATTGCCTGTATGCATGTGAGTACACCTGTGTTGTGCAGTGCCACGGAGATCAGAAGAGGGCTTCTGATTCCCCTGAAACTGGAATTAAGGATGGTTCATAGCCACCATGTGGGTGCTGGGAATCGAACCTGGGTCCTCCGCAAGAGCAGTCAGTGCTCTTAACCGCTGAGCCATCTCTCTAGCCCCTGAAACTGTCAGATTTTATACAGGCTATAGAGAAAATGTTTCCAATCCAGAATTGTCTACTGTCCTAAATAAAGCAATTGCTCATTCCTTGCATCTTTAACTAACAAACAGGCTCAAAAAAGGAATGACCTCAGCTCCAAACATTAGATTCAGAACACTACTGCCAGTCACACTTGGTTTTGAAGTGAAAATAAAAACAAGGTCACAGCTCCAAGACCCTCTAGGGCCATGCCTCCTCCACCCTCTCAATTCATTGAAAAGGCACCTGTGATTTCCCATAGCACACTGAACCTAATTTAGTTGACACCATCCTGGTCTCAAACCCGTAGGAAACAAAAAAAGAGTAAATAATTTATAATGGTCACAGGGAAGATTGTTGGATTAAACATAGCTGCAAATTGATTGCCCTGGAAAGGTACAGTCTACTTCCTCTCCCCTTCAATTGGCTGACACTTGGACTTCTTGATCAGTAGTTCTTCATGAACACAGGGTAGAGATTCGAATGTTATATCTCAAAAGATCTATAATTTTCACCTCTGTGCTTAGCATATACTGTCTTAGAACCCAGCCATGGTATTCTTGACAATATGGAGTCTTAGGAACAAATTATCAGCCAGAATTAGCATCAGCTACCGGCCTAGTCCATGAGGACATTTTAGGCCTAATGGGCCAGTGCTGTGAAGGCCTTCCCACAGTATCTCAGAAATAAAGCATTAATGGGTTTTAAGCTATTAAGACACAGAATGTGAGACCAGTTAGCCAAAGTCTATATGCCAGAGTTCTTGCTCTGTCACTTGCTCAGGCCAGTTCACAGCTTCTCTCACTTT